GTGTTTTCAGTTTTATTTTCTAGCTTTCTTCATTTAACATAGTCATACATTTGCGGAAATGAATTTGTATTCGCATGCAACTATCGCTTTATGATCTATCAGCTGTTGAACCTAAGTTGTTTTCTGTGAAACATTGGCCCTCCGTTTGCTAGATTATTCAGGATGTCTCGGAGCACCGTTTAACTCCAGTAGTACCTTGTAAATGACATTTTTTCTAGTTTTTTTCCACAGTGGTAGGAAGTTAGAAGAAACCAATTTTCACACTCGTTTTCTATACCTTTCTGTTTGAGAGTCGAATTACTGAAAGTTTCTCTTCAATATAACTGCAGAATGCCGATCCGATTTGAATTTTTACACAACAGATACGTAGAGATAGATAGCGAGATTACTAGATAGACTGAAAGGTAGGCAAATGATAAATGCAGGGATGGGTAGTTGGAATATGGACAGATAGATGAATGCATACATATATACACATGATTGTACATGCTGGCATACATACGTACACATACACATAAATGCATGCAAATATGCACTCACGTACACATGCGTACAAGCACACTAGTATAGATATATACATGCACGTACATATGCATGCACGTATAGATATATACATTCATACGTACATGCACACATTCATGATCGTATACGTTCATGTCGCCAGTGTTCTATGACACCTTAAAAAGAACATGGCAACTTTGAAAGTGTTGGGATGTCATCTTCCGTGCATTTCATTATTGGTCTCCATTTGTGGCACACTTTCATCCTGCTGTTGTAATGCTGTTTCCGTTGCCGTGTCATCAGCCACGAGTTGCTATTACTCAGTTTTTCAAGACTGTATCTTCCTAAATCTCTACTATTCTGTAGGCTTGTTTCTTTCTCACGCAGTGATACTCATTTATCGGGTCATTTCGCCGCAGTCGTTTTGGCGCGTGATGTTTGGATGCAGACCGGTCGTTGGTCTCATCACAGTTCTATGATCACTACTGTGAATTTGCATAACTGAACGGTGGTCATCTGCATCAGCAGTCTGATTCAACCCCTCATTTTATACATCAACTGAACAGTCTCTGCGGTTTCAGTACGATAACGTTGTTAACCTTGTGAATTTCTTATAGCAGCTCCATGCTGCTGACAGTGCCAGGTTATTAAGGCAGCGTATAGCCGTGCAGTTCATGAGTGTTAATTTATGTTGTTGGCGGGTTGTGACCTTTACTCTCTGTTTGATTTTATCCCTCACAGTATAAATCTGTCGAAGAGTCTGTGAGCACCGTAAGAAACTCTTATCATGAGTGTCGGTTTCAAAGTTTACATTTTCGTTTGATAATTTCATTGTGATGTATAGTGAGTACATTAAATTTGCGTGTTAGCGTTGTCGTGAGTTTCAGTTTATGAAAATTTCAAATGTCAAACTGCCGCGTTTGCGAATAATTTGATCATGTTGCATATCGGTAAAACGCTATCTGAAATCTCTGAGTTCAATAAGTTAATTCTGTCACAATAATGAATGTGTATATGTAGTTTAGGCGACGTCGGTCTCTGCTATTTACTCGTTCTACAGTGCACAAGTATGGCACGCGCAGTCGTGATCGGCTGTTTAGTCATTCCTCCCAACCGATTTCTCTATTATTTCTGCCAGTACAGACTACTGTTTGGCTATCTCCAGTGATTGATTGATCTCCTGAACACAGTTCACGGAAACTGTTTCTGCTTCGTTGACCAAACGGTACGAATGAATGATTAGTTTAAATTAGTAACAACAACGTGCTCTCCGTAATCCAGCATTGGCGACCCCCTCCCCATCACCTAGAACAGACTTTGACAAAAGTACTGGATGGTACAACGAAGCAAAGTAGATTGGATGCCTCTGAGCCACTGTCTTATCCATGAAGCCCTATCGTGAATCCTGAAATGATCCGCTAAGGTGAGAACGTAGTGATAAGTAGTGATAAGTAGCAACAATCGTTACGGAGATTCTTCTGCTTTGACATCATATTCTGTCAAATACAATTACTCTGACTGCCACTCCAAACAAGAATACTTTTTACCATTCTGATTACTTCTCGAAGATCGTTTTTTGAAATATGATTATCATGATATCTACCTTCTGAATGATGCCTGAAATTCATGGCGACGCCTAAAAGTAATTTCTGATAATGTTGAAGAGATAAATTCAGGAGATGTGGAGCGAAGAACCTGACCTTTCCAACTTGCATGGCCGAAATCCGAGAAATACGTGCTCAGGTTATGCCCATCTTAACGTAATACCTTTGAAGAAGACCAGATTTCTCGCTTGTCATTTGTTAGCGAGTATGAACCGTGGTCTGTCTATGCAGCTTCTTAAGAGTGAAACAGCAAAACACCACCCACTGTAGACATATAGTTCGACAGAATTATGCTAATGAATTAAAGTCACGGCTGCGATGGTTTCAGCACTTGCATCCAAAATGGAATGCATCCAGAAAGGAAGTTACTGCTTACCAAACCTACCGGCCGAAGTCTTCAGGGACGACCAAGAATAACCTGAGGCAAGTGTATTGAAGGACTCTGCTCCACACTCGGTTAAGTTCAAACACTGGCGCAGGATCGGAAACATTTGAAGCACTGTCTGACGCTTCTGCCTTGGCAACTCGAATGGATAGGCATTCATGTAAATTTATTGACTGATTAAACCTTTGGAATTTACCAGTGTAATTTTTTCTGTTCTTACCGCAGGTTAGAACCGTTGGTTCTAATTTGCTTGAAGTCAAGCACATTTTCATGAGCGTTCGGTTTAATTGATAGCACGATCGCAGTCCAATTAAATGAGTGAAAATATTCCCCTGACTGATGTTCGCCAAATTGCCGTTATGGACTATTTTCGTCCATAGTTTTGTTTGTTTTCATTTACATTTAATTAATATTTGCCTATTTCTTATTTATTCTGAAAGCTGGCTTCTTTGGCGATCTTATTCAAGCAGCGATCCTTCATATTCATATATTTATGAATGGTCACGGGATGTAATACGCCACGTCAGCGTACACCGTGCATTTTCGGGAAGTTCGACAAGTTGTTATTGTTATAAACACTCTTTCAAACTGCCTCTCGGATGATGTGCTATTGTCGTTCAATTGCGCCTTCTGTTCATTTCTAATTCTGTTGTTGGTTTTAGCCTGGGATCAAAGTGACACGTACGTCAAGTTTTACATCAATCTCGCTGGCGTTCAAGATATTCCAACCGAGAACATCGAAGCTACATTTTTGCCGAGGTACTGCGTGTATTTTACTACCTTGTCAAGATGAATGCTTTTGTAGGAGCTTGCATTTACGAGTGCATAATCTCAATGGCAAGGACTACGAGTTTGACATAATCGAGTTGTCGAATTCGATATTGCCACCAGAGAGCACGTTCAAAGTAAGCTCAGCTGCTTTTAGTTCATACTGATGAGGCATACTGTACTGAGCTACAGAATATAACGTCCCTCAGGATGCTGCTGAGAGATGAACCACGGATGTAAAATTTACTAGGCTGATTTCTCCATCTTGTTTTCAGCTTGCATTCAGGCAGCAGTAAAAGCGGATATAACTTCAAGATCCTAAGCAGCAGATTTCGAACCTAACATCATCATCT